TGTGTGGCATTGAAGTATAAAACATCAAATGGTATTAGAGCGTGTTATCCTTCAAGAGGCTAACACCCTAGGAGAAGATCAAGATGAGTGCACCACTAGGAAACTAGGAAGGGCAATCCACTGCTAGGCCACCACTCCTTAATGGCCAGTACTACTCTTGGTGGAAAAACAAGATGAGAGATCACATTAGAGGAGAGGACTATGAGCTATGGGACATTGTCACCGATGGTCCACTGGCTACCTTGAAGATAAATACTGAAGAAGTAGAGGTGCCAAAGACAAGAGCGGATTGCACTGCTGAGGACTTGAAGAAATGGGAGAAGAATGCTAAAGCCAAGAAATGGCTTGTTTGTGTACTTGGTCCTGATGAGTACAACAAAATCCAAAGTTGTACCACTGCTAAGCAAATTTGGGTCACATTGCAAGTGGCTCATGAAGGAACACCTCAGGTGAAGAGATACATAGGAACTCTACTATATTCTCAATATGAGAACTTTGCTATGAATGAAGGAGAAACCATCCAAGAGATGTACACAAGGTTTACTACCTTGACAAATGAGCTAAAGTCTCTTGGAAGGATTATTCCTGAAGAAGATAGAGTCGAGAAGATACTGACAAAGGTTTTGGCTATCACTTGAGAAAGCAAAATCACTGCCATTCAAGAATCAAAGAACATTGCCACTCTCCCACTGGATGAATTAATTAGAAATCTTACTGCCTATCAACTTAGGAGACAAACCATGAAAATGGATGTACCTAAGAAGGAAAGGAGCTTGGCACTCAGAATCACTGAAGGTTCTGATCTAGAAGATGATGAAATGGCTATGATCACCAAGGACTTCAAGAAGTACCCGAAGAGAGGAAAGGGTTCTTCAAGAAGTAAAAGCTATAGTAAGTCAAAAGCTCCCGAGAAGCAAACCAATGATGGCTGCTACAAGTGTGGAAAGACTGATCACCACATCAAGAACAGTTCTTTTTGGGAAATTGAACGAAGAATGAAAGAGCTGAACGAAGGAACAAGAAGAAGGAACATGTTCAACCTAAGAAAAGCAACAATAAAGGATCAACCAAGGCTATGGTCGCTGCTTGGGGGGAAAGCTCAGATGAAAGCTCAGATGATGATGATGAGGATGAACAAGCACTTATGGCCATCAGAGAATCTGATGAAAAATCGGAGGTAAGTGTAATTCATCTCAAAGACAAGATTAAATTCTTGTCCAAAGAAAGATTATCTGAGTTACTTCTAGAACTAATTGATGAATCTGAGGATGTAAACAATGAAAATAAGAAGTTGTCTAAAGAATGTGTGATATTGAAGGCTAAGTGTAAAAATATGCAACTTAGGGTTAGTGAAACTGTAAGTGAAAATACTGTGTTGAAGAACCAGGTTAATGCACTTGACTCAACTATCCTAGAGCTTAGATCTGAAAATCTAAAATTGAAATTAGGAACAGGTAAAAAGATAGCTGATCACACACAACTCACTCTAGAAGAAAATGTAGGAAAAATGAAAGATGAGTTGTAAAAAATGGATGAGCAGGTAAGAATCCTAAAGGAGGATCTAAGCAAGGTCAAGCATGAGCTAGACATAAATTGTAAATGGAACAGGTCCTCCGATGTACTTTTATGGCTACAAGAACACCATAGTAGAAACAGAAGAGGACTTGGCTTTGGGAACCTGACACCTAAGTGGGATCCCAAAAGCAAGTACCTCACACTTCCTAAGAAAAACTCTTGCACACACTGTGGTAAAACATGCCACTATATAAGTGAATACATTGCAAAAGAAAAGTAAGTCAAAAGAACAAAGTATTTGTTCAAGGGA